GGGGGGGGGGGGGGGGTAGTACTGTTCCGTTTAGAACTGTTCTGTTTCCGTTGTTCTGTTCTGTTGTTCTGGCTTTATTTTCTGGAGGGGACGCCAGCTTTGATGAGGATAAGCTTGCTTGAAGTGTTGAACTGATCCACTGGTGTTGGGGAAAAATTCTGGAGAACAATGTGTTGAGTGATTCTTGAGTGATCCCAGACAAGGAGAACCAAATATGACAAAAAAAAAAAAAAAAAAAAAAAATCCAAAATTAACTCCGCTCCTCTGAACACATCATTTAAGATAACACCCATTGGAAACCTGCAAGATAGCTCAGTAAACGTGTAGACTGGGATAATCAGGAAATCAATCTCAAATCTGGTGTGCTTCATTCATGGAAGACTGCAAAACAGGGATTTCATTCTGTAAGTATATATAGTAATACTGTAAACAAAATTGTGAAATTTGTGAATGTAATTTGCAGCATGCAGATTTATAAGAACCCGAATCAATATATATATATATATATATATATATATATACTTCTGTATGAGAATAAAAGTTTAAAGTTTAAAGTTTTAAAAAATGAATGTGTATTATTACGTCTATCTTTCAAGGATTACAGTACTACCTAACCTTTAAAAAATTAGTGATGAATAAATATAAGATGGCATGATAATGAGATATAATGACTGTTTCATGTTATTTAAGTTGATAATACAACATGTAACTATAATATATATATATATATATATAGATATATGTTCAGTGGCTCCTACAGCCTATATGAGAGACTTGTGGTATGTGATCACAAATCTGAAAACAAAAACTTTTTTACCGGTGCTGACAATCCATCTAAATTAGAATTACACATCTTCAAAAGCCCAAAAATCCAAATCTTATTGAAGTACATCCTTTCAAAGTTCATGAACATAAATAATTTTGGATGATAATATTTAAATTCGGTCATCTTTTTATAAACACCACCTATCCAAAGAATTCATGGGAAATTTTATATTTAGTATTAATGTAACTTTCAAGTAAAAAGGATGTAGATTACAAAAGAAGCAAACCATAGTTCTTCAACAAAAAAGCCCTATTATTCAACAAACTATTATCCTCAATTAGCCAACTAGGATATTAAGTGGAGTTCACACCAAATATCTCCAGAATAATAGAATGTTAGCTAAAACCATATGAGTCGTTTCCACCACAAAAAATTAAATGTAGTTCACATGAAATATATCATTGCTCAAGGACACAAATGTAACAATCTCATGGACGTTTTCTGGGCAGAATCTGCTCTGCCTTGGGCCAGCAGCAAGGATTCTGAAGCATGGAAAATCTTATGGAATAGCTTGGACTATTCTCACTCCCCATTCCCATTCCACATGAGCATTTTCTTAACAAATTTATTTTTAGAATACATAAGAAACCAAAACGATAAATAACTTTAATTGAAGAAATCAATAAAAATAAATTATTATTAAAATAATATTATTAAGTATGAACTTGAAATAAAGGATACATCACTAAACAATAATGTTAAGATCAATCATTTTGTATTTTGTAACATACCAACTTCTACAGTACTTTTTGCTACCTTATTGTTGTAGAAATACAGAATTTTCATTCTAGACTTATTTCAGCTCCTGGTATTTATACTCTATAAATCTTATATGATTTTGAACTTATTCACAAGCTTATGGAGGTTCTTTCTTTTTTTAAAACAATGGAAATTGTGAATCATAACTTGATTCAGCATTACTGATTAAAATGTTTAAATGATTTATTAGTACTGTGAACAATTTCTGTGATGCTTTCATTACTTTACAATACAATGTGAAATTTATCAATTTAAATAAAATCAATAACACTTGAAATTTGGCTTTTGTGATGTCAGTTTTTTAATCAATGTGCTTGTAATAAGCAAAAACACCTTGTTATATATATATATATATATATATGATTATAAATATATTTTGATTTTTTTACATTATATTATATATGAATTCTTGAGTTTGTCCATACACAAGATGATTTCATGTCACAGAATAGCAACCATCTTTTGTCACAATATAATTCTATATTGCAAAGGGAGAGGCTCAGGCAATTTAGCTACAATTTAGTAAAACCAAACAACTACCAATAGACACAAACAGTCTATGAATGACCACTCCTCTAATTTGATACATGTTTGAAATACAATTTGCTTCAACAAGTGACGTCCAAAGTAAACAAGGATCTTGTATGTTGTTGTGTATATTTATATACAGAAAGATTAAAAATACATTTACCATAATAAATAAATTATGTAGGAATATTTAAACTTGAGAATGAGAGATACACTTGCAAATGTCAACCCTAATTCATAACTTTGTTGATTGTCAAACTTCAGACATTTGAAGGTAATTGGCACAAAAACAAATTTAATTTCTGTGTTAGAAATTCATGATAAATATATAAAGTTTTTAATGATTTTTTTCCTTTTCTAAATTAAATTATTAGAATTATTTTCTTATATTTTCATCTTTATGGATTCTACAGACAAAAACATCAGTTTGAAGTGACTCAATAGTAGCATGTTCCATAGAATCAACAAATGCATGTGTATGGACATGCATATATCCATGTTTACCATATATTTTATGACTGCTACAGTTCACTTGCACAACACCTGAGTATGCTCAGAATATCCCACGTTCTCAATTTTACAGCATGTATGTTTACACTATGTTATGGTTGACCAACTTTCATCCACGTGGACTCTAATGAGCGGGGGGAGGGGGGGGGTAGAGGAATAGGACTGAAATGGGTCGAGAAGGGAATCGAACCCGTGGTCTGAACAAAACCCATCCAACATCTGGAATGGGTTAAAATTAGGGTTACGTGGGGAGTAGCGTTGGGGGGGGGGAGGAATCTCGGAAGACGTGGCGTTCTTCCAACGTGTTAGTTCTCATCTGCCACCGTGAATCCTCATCCATAAAAATCGACGAATGAGGTTTTTCCATATCTGAGCCATCGATTATCCATTGAGGATCTAACGGTCGCCGAAGGCCCTGGACCCCGTGTCACCCCTAGGGGAGCGCGACAGTGCCACTTGGATGGATAAGGCCTTCCACTTTGGAGCCAATCAGGTTCGTTTCTTCCAGGTCACCAGTCCGGGCTATTCGTACAAGAGCCCATTCTCTGAATCGATCCACTGGGACTCGATTCGTGTCTTTATTCTATTTCCTTTTCTTCTTATAAAATTGTTGGACTTCAAGCTTAGGATCGACACATGTTAATATGAATATATATAGAGTGAAATACATGTGTGTATGTGAGTATATATAAGTATATAGAGATATAGAAAGGAATAATAATAATAATGTTAAGTTATTATTATATTTTTGTATTTTTTTAACTATTATTATATTTTTTAAAATTTGTATGGTTTCGAGAAAAATAAGTGACGTGCCTTAGAGTCAACTATTATTGACGTGTCACCTGCAAGTAGTAATCAATTTGAAGAGTAATTCTTTAAAATGATAATACTAATAATAATAAACAGATAGTGGTGTGTACGTGGTCTGCAGACAATCAATGATGAAAACTCTTTTG